AAACATGCTGATGATTTATCAAGACTGATACCAAAAAACACTGACCTTTTGAGGGCACTGTTATTGCAGCATAAAAAATGAAATAGAAATTCAAAATATATTATACAATGGAGTAAGTAAACTACCAGTTACCCTGGAAAAAATAAACATAAAAGCAGAACAACACATATTTATTTCGAAAGAAAAAACCGACTAAAAGTAAGAAAGAAAGATAGACGATTTATAGAATGCAATCCATATTTGAACGCTTACTCTCTGATATGACGGAGTACTGATGTTTGCACAAAGAGTAGTAATACCTATCATATTACAAAATCGGATATTGAATGAATTTCATGGAAGACATCCGGTAATTTCAATGCTGAAATCTCTTATAAGGTGCTATGTATACTGAACCAAAATGGTTCAAAACATTGAAAAATTAGTAAAATCCTGCAGAGGTTGTGCAGAGGTTGTGCTCTGGGAGCAAAATCCCCCAACAAGAAATAATAACCTTGGACAAAGACACTGACTACGTGGTAAAGACTGCACATAGATTTCGCAGGTCAAATAAACGGATCACATTATTTTGTGGTAGTGGATAAGTTTACTATTAGGTTGGTGCAAAAATAATGTCGTTTTTTTGACGTCAACTTCAAAAAACGACATTATTTTTGCACCAACCTAATATATTGCCTGAAAGTGGAGAATACTAACTTCTACAATTACTGTGATTTTTTACACGAACTGTTTGCAAGATATGGAATTCCTGATGCCATAGTATCGGATAACGGTACACAATTCACTGCTTACGAATTTAAAGAATTTTGTAAAATTCTCTCGATTGGACATATTGCTACACCGTTGTAACACCCAAGGTCAAATGGACAAGCTTAACGGTTTGCGGGTATTTTAAAGAGAGCTTTGAAAAAGATTATTGAGTGTGTGCCGGATAACACCGAATCGCAAGGAAAGTTGGCTCCCTGTGCCGCGCCATGAAATGTTTCTCCCCGGAATCGATCCTCCAGATCTACAAAACAACAATTCACCCTTGCATGGAGTATTGCTGCCATATATAGTCTGGAGCCCCTTCTGTTTGCCCCGGGATACTTGATAAGATCCATAGGCGGATATGCAATATAATTGGCCCTGTTCTGGCATCTCGTCTACAGTCGCCTCTCTCTGTCTTTTTTTTACAAATGCTTTCATGGTAATTGCTCCGAGGAGCTGCATTCGCTGGTTCCCAGATTTCATGAATTCAAGCGCCCTATGAGGCTGGCATCCCGCTCTCACCCTTTCACTGTCGAAACTACTAAATGTAGCCGTCTCTTCTACTTCAATAGCTTCATGTCTCGTACCTCTCGCTTGTCGAACTCCCTTCCCTATTCCAGTTTCCTTGATAGCTATAATCTCCAACTATTCAAATGTAATGTCAATTCATCCTTTCCTCTATCACTCCTATCTGATCTTGCTCTAAGTCTTCCGTAACCCCTTGCGTCCTATTGCTTGGGGTGAAACGTTAAAAAAAAAATGCCTACACACTGACAGACATGTTACTAGAAGAATTGATGTTCACGAGAAAAAATAAATCGGTGTTCGACAAGTTTTTACTGTGTATAAAAAAAGAATAAGAAACAAGGGGTTCTTTGCACTTATACAAGTTAAAACTTTATAACGATCTCACCCGTCCTTAATCTTTCTCCTGCCGCCATGCTAAGCCAAATCTTTTGAGTTCTGTTGGTCTGACCTCTAGGCAGACGAGAGTATCGCGCCTGGATCTTTCCTGGGTTATTTGCTCCATCATTAAAATTTTTTGTTGTTGTTTGGACATTATTCGCCTGATCGTCAAGTGTCTTCGAAGGAGGCTGTCCTATCAGCAGGTGTATAATACCGGGTCTCTTCTACTGTCATATTGTCAATAGTTGTTGAACCGTGCAGTAGTTTCTGGTGGAGCCTCTCGATGCAATGATGATGGATTCTGTTTTGACAGCATCTCCGGACGAGTCAACACAGGTAATTTATGCGTGCATCTCGAATGGATATCTGCTTCCCTGCCTACTGGTAATCTATCAAACCAACCAAAACATATATAAAAGAAATCAAAGGGAAAAAAAAACACAACTAGCAAACCCAACCTCAAAAAGTATACTACATACCTTACACCAATATAAGGGGTCTACGTTTCAACTTTGCAGAAATGGAACTTCAATCTCAACCTGACCTCCTGTTCCTGTCTGTAACGGGTATCAATGCTTCAATCCTATCGCAAGAGTTCACAATCCCAGGCTACTCACCCATTATAACAAAAAAAATACGACCACCAAAATCCTCACGGTCACGGGGTAGGTGCCTACATCAATGACTGATTTCCCTGTGGCAGGGACACAAAAAACGAGGACCCTGATCTCCGCTATATGTGTTTCTTTTGTGGCAATTATCACATTCATCTTTGCTCTGTATCGTCCTCAGGATGAAGTGTCGGTAATCTCCGATCGAATATCAGAGAGGATTGAAAAAATCCTCATTGAATATCCCGCGGCCAACTTCCACATATGCGGTGACTTCAATGTTCACCACAAAGAGTGATTAGTTCACTCTTACAAAACTAATGAGGAAGATAGATATTGCAGAGATTTCTCCATCGCATAAGAACTAACCCAGATCATTGAAGAACCCACTCAAGTCACGGATGCGACAAGACAGCAGGCGAACATCCTCGACCTTTTTCTAACATCCTGCACTGACAAATGATCATAAAAAATATCCTCCATTGGCACGTCAGATCATTCCTGAGTTAGTGTACAGATTGACTCCAAACCAATGGCATCCGCTGATTTACCGTTCCATTGAACAGTTTTTCGCTATGCGGAGGCAGACTGGAACAGCTTTCGGTCCTATTTGACGTAAGATACTCTTCCAAACTTCTTCAAACATTTTGTCCGCAAAATTGCTGCACTAATCTCCGAATGGATCCTTTCTGGGATAGAGTGTTTTATACTCTAAAAGTAATTTCAGTAAAAATCAAAGTGTCAGCCTTGGTTCACCCTGAATGTGCTGCAGCCATAGATCACCAGAACCACTACTTCAAAATCTATCGCAAGGAGCTGTGTGGTCTGGCACTTAGTCTTTTTCATAACGGCCGCAATCGCTGTAAGAGGGTGCTGGAAAACGCAATGTGCAGGTCATGGTTGTAAATAAACAAATTGAATCTCGTGAATTCTGATCTCCAACGAAACTATGAACAGAGGCTGTACCCACTATTATAAATTGACCCGAGGTCATGTCATACATGACGAAGATCTTCGCCTCGATTTTTGCCTCAAACTCAACGTTAAATGACAAAGTCCATCCACTCTCCATATTCCCACATCTCACTGAGTACAATCTCAGTAATATATTAATTTCAAGAAGAGAAATCTCAAAACTTATCAGCGTCTGGCTGTCGGTTCTTAGGAATTGAGCTGCTTGAGACAGCAGATTCGAATATATATATATATATATATATATATATATATATATATATATATATATATATATATATATATATTAATTTATTTATTTAAAAATATGATTCCAACTCGCGACATATTTTTGGAATCATATTTTAAATAAATAATTATATTTATGCTCTACTTTTGTATCGAGCACTATTTTTTAAAAATAATAACTAAAATACTAAGGCACTTTGAATTATTTACCTAACCAGTTCCTTCCTATTTTCTATATATTTTCACACACACAAACACACACACACACACACACACACATATATATATATATATATATATATATACACATTGGTGAAGGAAAGACAAAACTAAAATTGAAAAAGGGAATTACCAGGTTGCATTAATGGAACTTTCCTTCGAAACGAAATATTATTACGCTTAATCATTCATTTGTCTACCATTATATATATATATATATATATATATATATATATATATATATATATATATATATATATATATATATATATTCGGACAAGTGCGTTGGCCAAAAAACAGTTGTGAAATCTTGCATGCATTAATAAGCCTTCTGATTAATAACTGCATTATTTCTTTCGAGGTTAATTGCTATCTGAATGATCAAGGAATACTTTAAATGTAACCTTGTAGAAACCCTTACGTGAAATGAACAAAATATGGCATTGTGGTGCTATCTGATACAGGCAAAAAACGTGTTTAGACCCCAAGGACATTGATGCTGACATGGTTGCTACATTAGTGGATGATCCTTCAAAAAAGAGTGCAAGCTGAATCTAAGATGACAATGGAGCGTCTTGAACCTAACTCAGCGTTTGTATGTTCTACAACTTCCCCCACCGAGGACAACATTAGTCGTGTTGACCACATTAGGATGGATGAGATGTGATTGACATGAAAAAGTTGAGAATATACTGCAATATAAACTTGTCATGAGGAAGGTTACTGCTCGGTCGATACCGCATCTTCTAATACCTGATCAAAAGCGTACCTTGACTGATCACATCACGGGAAAATCTGAAATTCTTTGATGAAGATCCGATTAGTTTCCATGAATGTTTCTAAACCCAGGATGAATGTTGGGTTCATTACTTTGAGTCAAATATAAAGAGATATAAAGAGATATTCAATGAAGAAGAAACAGTCCTCCTCACCTGCTCGAGGTCGTTTTATCTGCAGGGATGCTGTTGGCCTCAGTTTTGGGGGGACGCAAAAGCATTGTGTTCATTGATTATCTTCGAAAGGGTTACACCATCAATGAAAAATCATACGAACGGCTATGAAGACCAAACGCCGAGGAAAGCTAACGAAAAGAGTCGTATTTCATCAGGAGAATTTGGCTCCATTTGACTATCATCTGTTTTCCACCTTGAACAAAAACACTTGGCTCGAAACCAGTATCACAGTGATGATGATTACATTATGTGATAAATAAAATCAGAATTTAATTTGCAAATACTTTTGATATTTGCGGAAAATCAAAAATTTAAAACTTAATTGAATCTATTATTAAGCAATTTAAAAATAATCAAATAATTAAAAAATAATCAAATAATCGATATTTTGAAAGCAGCCACATTGAGAGCACGACCGTTCATCATGAGTGGAGAAGATAGATAGATAGATAGATAGATAGATAGATAGATAGATAGATAGATAGAATAACAAAGAGATTGAAAGAAAGAAAGAGAAAGAAAAATTATCGAAAAAAGTAGATAGAGTGATAAATAGGAAATAAGAAGCACATCTATCTATCTATCTATCTATCTATCTGTGTGTCTGTCTCTGTCTTTGTCACTCTCTCTCTCTCTCTCTCTGTCTCTTTATAGATAGATATATAGATAGATAGATAGATAGATAGATAGAATAAGAAAGAGAAGGAAAGAAAGAAAGAGAAGAATTATCGAAAAAAGTAGATAGACTGATAGATAGGAAATGACAAGCAGAGATTATCTATCTATCTATCTATCCATCTATCTATCACTCTCTGTCTGTCTCTCTGTATATATATATATATATATATATATATATATATACAGATAGATAGATAAATAGATAGATAGATATAAATATAGACAAAGAAAGAAACAAAGAAAGAGAAAATAAGAGAGAAAAATTTTCAAAAAGTAGATACATTGATTGCTATGTCGATGAGTCAGATAGATAGAGAAAGAAAGAAAGAAAGAAAAAGAAAGAAAAAAGAAAGAAGAAAATTTTCGAGAAAGTAGATAGATTGATAGATATGAAATGTCAGTGGCAGATAGATAGATAGATAGATAGATAGATAGATAGATAGATAGATAGATAGTGAAAGAAATAAAAAAGAGAAAGTAAAAAAGAAAAATTATGGAAAAAAGTAGATAGACTGATAGATATAAGACGAATGCAGACAGATAAAGAAAGAAAGAAAGAAAGAAAATTAGTCGAAAAAGCAGATAGATTGATAGATATGAAATGACAAGGAGATGCAGACAGATAAATAGATAGAGAAAGAAAGAGAAATAAAATTATCGAAAAAGTGGACTGATTCAT